GATTTACCAGCTAAAAAGAAACAAAACTTTGCTAACTCACAGGGAAAATCTCAACATTTAACCCGTTTTTTTCCTCAAAATCAGTTTTTTGTTGCTACTGCTCAAACCTCAAAATTTTAGTTTTATGATTAAATTTCAGACAGTTCATTCAAATGATACGTTAAAAAGACTTTTATTCATTATATTTTGACAAAATGCAATTTTTGTTAACATTTTAGTCAAAACACTATATTTGCCTGTTTCTCCTTTTACAACTTTTGGACTTAATCCTCTTTTCGATGTGTTGGGTCACAAATATAACAGTATAGTGCAAAACACAAAGTGTATCTCATCACTTGTCCATTGGTTTTGTTAGGATGTTTATAAGCATTTGTCAGTGTAATAACACTTAATAATGTCTTTATAACTAGTCAAATGTTTTACACTTTACTTGAGGCAAGAATAAATATTACTGACTTTGTTATTAAAGCATTTGTCAGTGTAATGACACTTAATAACGTATTTATAGCTAGTCCAATGTTTTACACATTGAGGCAAGAGGAAATATTAATGACTATGTAAATACAGTACAGTATCTCTTGACAAGTCAGAGTATTTATAAGCATGTGTCAGTGTAATGACASTTAATGACATATTTATAACTAATCTAACATGTTCCACTTTACTTGAGGTAAGGGAAAACATTAATGACACATATATTGGTCTRATGACAGCCAAAGTTAAGACTAACAACAAATGTTAAAGTTGATATTTAATAGATTWTAMAACAGGTTATGATTTCWTCATTAATGTCAAGCTGTCATAAGAAAGACATTTTAAACAATGTCAACTTTGCACTAAAAGTGTCATAATTTACCAAATGACATTTAATGACAACAGTCYTAAACATTCATGAGGAGTTATTTAAGTTGATGACAGGTGTTATGTTATATTTATGACAGTCTTCTGCACACCKCTTCAAATAAAGTGTTACRTAAATAATTAGTAATAAAAACCTCACAAGCACAAATGTTTCCATTTCTTTCTCCTCTCTTTGTTTTGAACCCAAACAGTGTTTTCTACGAGAACCCACGATACATCATGTTTATCTGCATGGTGGTGAATGACGCCCTGCAGCTGACGCTCATAACCACGCTCTATGTGGTCAGCTACATTTTCAGGAAGATCCACGCCTCCGTCTGTTGCATTCTGGTGAGGAATAACTTATTTTTAAATTTACACACGCACTAAACTTGGTCTAATTTGTTCTTAAATCTTGTGCGTGTCAGGTTAACAGTGGTTTTTCTCTTATTTCCACACAAGGGTTTAAAAAAATAAAATTTAGAAAATGTAATAAAAAATGTCCTGATGCATCTCAGTAATCCAGGTAAAAAAATCAAAAAGAAAAAAAATTGTATAGGTCCTCTGGAC